ATCTTAGTGTCTTAGGAAAAAGATTTCAAATTCAGACTGTTTCATCTAGGCTGAGTTTAGAACTAGCTTTTTATAGAAGGCTTATTGTGGTCCAATTGTTTATGCATATTTAGTGAAAATAGCATGTAAAGCTTCACAGCTTTTCATCATTCAGAACAGCTTAATCCACTATTAACTAAATTAAACCCATTTATTTATATTAAGCAGTAATAAACTTGTGCTGAAGAAAAACGTTTAAATACATTTTATAAAAAGTTCTTCATATTTTATATTGTCTAAGATAAAATGCTTACCGCACCTAGTTATTGCTTAAGTTTTTGTGGTGGCCAGTGACAAAATATTGTTTCATTTGGCACACGAGGTTTTTTTTTTGTTGTTTTTTTTTTTGTTTTTTTGTTTTAATTAATTTTTATGGTAGTGTTTTTCCTGGATTTGTTGCAGCAGCATTTCAGTACCATTGTCCATGGTACTTTATGAAAAGAATTATTACATAGACTTTCTGCTCTCTAGAAGTTTATGGTTTCTGTGTGAGTAAGGGGTGTAGAGACAGCTAGATGATAAAGTTATCATGTGTGCCCCGGGATGGTTGAGGAGCAATCTTGAAAGCTCTGAATTCAAGTAGGGAATGGGAAAAGTGAAGGCAATATAACCAGTCCATGAAAACTCAGAGCCTTTAAGTAGCATTTGGAATAACCTGAGAAAACAGCTTAATGAGTCCCAGCCTCTGGGAAGGCCATTTCTAATCAATAGTAGAGTTTAGGAGGGTAACTTCCTAACTGAACATGATTAGGTAGACACTTAAGTTGATCTACCTGAAATGAACATGGTGGTGGGGAAAGAGCATGCTGGGATGTGAAGTTTAGAAAGATGAAGTAGCTTGAACAAATTGATAAAAGGATTTAAAAAAAAAACAAAACACTGCCAAACTTTAATATCTGCCCAAACTGTCATACATTTTTATGTGAAACTTTATTATCTGATAAAATGCTGTGTAGTCACCATTGCTTTTTCCTAGTGAACTTTTAATATGAAAATTAGGGTTTAAAACATCTTAAAGTGTCATTAAGTTTGATTAAATTATTGGTTTAAACACAGTAATCCTAGTAGGAAAAAAATTTGATAATTTTCCAGTTAGTAAATAACCCTTTTTCAAGATTGTTAAGATGGAAATTATATAAAGATAGGGTACTGACTACAAGTAATGCCCTAAGATGCAAAAGCATATTCATTCAGTCACTAAAATGTTTGTCCTATAAGGGAAGAGAAAAAAATACCTTGCACAAATTGTAAGAATGAAATAATCAGAAATCCTTTAATTTTAAATTCTATGTATCTAACTACAAGTATCACAGAATAATTTAATCAAATTTTCTCTAAGGTTACTGTTGACCCAATGTTAGTGTAAAATTGGTGGTATAGTGTTGGCATGAAGTAAGGTTCATAAAATATATTTTGTTTACATATATATATATATATATTTATAAGATGTATAGCAATGATTCTCAAACTTTTAGTCTCAGGACCCCTTTACTCTCTTAAATATTGAGAACCACCCACCCTCCCATAAAAGAACTTTTGTTTTATGAGGGTTATCTTCAGTTTTGTGTTGGTTAAGTGTTTAAGAACTGGCTTTCCAAAGACATCACACACTTTTAAATTTAATTTTCATTATTAAAAGCCACTTAAGTCTAGACAATGAACAAAAGAGTAAATCAAGGCTTAATTTGCCAGTTTCCAAGATGTAAATGTTCACACTGAGTATTTAACAGCCAGCCAAAAGGAACTGACTCCAACACACCCCTGGATATCTATTAATATTTACCATATTAGAAATTCAAATGTCTTAGGATTGTGATAAAAATAGTTTTGACCTCACGGAACTGAAGCTATCACAGGGACTTTCACAGGTCTCTGGACCACACTTTGAGAACCATGGGCAGATAGCACAAAACAGAAGTACTGCAGAAGATAGTTTAAGGCACACAGTTTTAATACTTGGAACATATCCTTAATGTAGGACAGACTAATAGCATTACAAAGCTAATTTTATGCTGAGGAATCTGATTTATAAAAAAGTATATCAGAAGAGAAAGAGACTTTTATTTGAACAGGCATAGTTAATTTACTAGCCTTTGAGATTTCAGTCTTAAGAGGTATGTTTACAAAATACAGCCATTCCATTTTGAGGGGGTAGAAATTGGGGAGATCCATTCACATAGGGAATTCTGGTGTGGAAACTCCCACTACTGATTGTCAACTTGCCTGTAAATTATAGTCATAGAATATTGCCTGTTGTTACCTGTTCTTGGTCATGACTTGAATTCCTCAGCTCTTCCCAACTCATAGACCAGCCTTCTGTCCATCACACCATGCTGTGGCTCCATAGTCAGTCTTAGTTTCTGAAATGCTTACTGTGTTGCCACTTTGGTGAATGAAATTGTACCCATGCTTACTTAATGGTTATGGGAATTAGAATAGGGGGTGTGAAACAAGGTGGAACATTTATTATAAGTAATTAAATGAGAAACAAAGATAGAAAACCTAAATTTGGGTTTTTATTTTCTTCATCCAGAGTATGATAACTACCTTTAGGCAATCGTAATAGATGCTGGTGAATTTATTACTTTCAAATCAGGACCTTGGGGTTCTGATTACTACATTGTCCTAAACTTATTATGGACTTTCAGTTGATTTTCTTTCAGGTTTTCAAGTTAAATTAGAAGAAAAGCTTCAAAGAAAAATATAGACATAGAAAGACAGCTTCATAAAAGGAAGGCATACTTGAGCCACATAATAGAGACATACTACTGACGATCCCATTCCTTACATGAAATCATGCCTCAAGTGCCTATAGAATTCTTGTTAAATTGGAGTGATTAGCACCCATCTTCAAACCTTAACATAGACTAGAGAAACCAAATTGCCATTTAATGATAAAATTCTTCCTTTCCCATCTCGTGTTATTAATTGAGAAGTACATTGTAATAGGTGTTCTGAATAAGGAGGAGGCTAAAACTATTAAAGTTAACTTTAATTTTTTTCTTTTATAAGAACTTCCATTTCAGAGGTAGGTATGTGGGCCAGAGAATAATTAAACCAAGAGGACCCAGATACCCTTAATTTTAGATATGTTCTGAATAACATTAAAAAAAATGAGACCTAAACAGAAGACTGATATGCCTTAAAAAAAGATTTTGCATTTCACAAAAGGATATACCATAGGATTATTTTAAATAAATTTCCTGGAGCAGTTTAAATCTCTTACTTTTGCAAAGTTTAGATTTATGCACATCTGCTTTTGAAATATGACCTCTCTGAATCAGAACTAGTAAAGAGAGAGTATCATAAAGATGTCTGCTTATCTACACACACATTTATCACTGGCAATTTTCAAAATGGAGTTTTCAGCAAAAAATTAGAAATTCCTTGCCTTTTCCCTTGTTTTCTCAGTTTGCTTGTTTGCTGCAACAAAAATGGTTTTATGTTAGTATAGACTGAATGTTTTTGATATGTAAGTGTATTGATTTAATAAAATTAGGAGAAATTGAAGGGTAAGGCAGTAATTAGTTTTGGATCGTTTTTGAATCTTTGCATATATCCTATAAAGTGTGAGATCAAATAGGTATGTACAAATGGTGATGGTAATATTACTATTGTTACAATGTATAGGTTTGGATAGGTGGGTACATATTCTGTTGAGGATGTTTTGCTTTAAACTTTAGTCTTTAAACGGATTAGTGTTTTTCAGAATAGTGATAATTGGAGACTTTTAAGGTTAGCCAGTAATTTTGTTAGAGTTTGGACCTCTCTGGATCTTTGCAGGTATCTTGTAAAGTGTGGCTTTAGATAGGTCCGGTGCAAGTAGTGGTACTAGCAGGACAACTTATCTCTTGTCATGTGTGGATCTGGAGGGGCGAATGCAAATAATTTTGACCAGGATGTTTGTTTTAAAAGCTGTTTGATCTTAAACTGGGCATAGTGAAAGCCTGCTTACAGGTTATTAAGTCTCCTGAGATATTGAAGTAGTAGAAACCTGTCAGGGACACACCAAAAATCTATTCGATAGGTATTAGTCCCATATTCTAATTAGCCTGTAGTATTGACTTATATACACCTTTTAAGGTTCAGGGAAATTCCAGATAAAGATTAGGGATGAAATCTGAAAGGGGAGGAGGGTGACGAGTATGGTAAAAGCGTTTGGAATTCTCCAGTAAATTCTGATGTTAAAATTTAGATTCTTAAACAATTTTAAAGACTTAAAAATTGTTTTTATAAAGTAGTTATTTGCACTTTACCTGCTGGCTTTTCCATTTGGTAGATAACATTCTGAACTCCAGCAGAGTTTTATAATCCCCACGTGCTTAAATATACTAAATGTTCTTTTTCCATTAAGGTTAATGTTCGTGAAGAAATTGAAGAGTTTTTTCCAAGAATGTGGAAGATAAATCAAGATAAAAGAAGGCTAATGAAAAGTATTAAAGATCAGAAAATTAAAATTGAATGGGGGAAAAAATTGAACAGAAGATTGGTCAGATAGAAGCACTTGAATTTTTTTTAAGGCTATTATGAATTGTTTGAATTGGGGAAGAATACACGAAGTATGAAAAAGGAAAAACTCAATGAAGAATGAAGAAAAGTAGAAAGCACGAGTGAAGTAGAATTAAAAGAATCTGGAAGAATGAATGGGTCCTAGGTTAAGTAAATGTATGGTTTATGTTCCAGTGTCTGTATGATCAAGTTGTAGATGAATTTGCATGATTGCTTAGTTAATAGCGGAGTTGGTGATCTGGTTCAAGTAGGGAATTATTTGAGGACAGTCTGCAGTATTAACAATGGGCTATTAATGAGCTGAAATTCTTTCTGGAGGGTGTTGCCTAACCATTTGTCTTTCAGGAGCAATCAATCAATATAATATAATATAATGTAATGACGGTACTTAAATGTTAGGTGGTAGGCATCTCCGTGACCACTGCCATTTGTAATACTGTCTTCTTTGTTAGGAGTCTCGCTCTCAGTCAAAATCTCCAGCGGGAAGTCCTGCTCGTGTAAAATCCGAGAGCAGGTCAGCATCTCGTAGTCCATCAAGGGCTTCTAAACATTCCGAATCCCACTCGAGATCAAGATCAAAGTCCAGGTGAGTGTATTTGAGTTGTACTCAAGGTGTTTTGCTTGATTTTTGTTATTTTTACTTTTTTGTACTTCAAGGGCGAGAATGGTTTTTGACTAATTCTAATTCAGTTGCATGAAGATGCCTAAAACTGTTTGTTTATCTTATCAAATTGAGCATTTTTAAACTGTGTATACTTGGCATATAATTAACAGCCTTGATAATGCCCTTGCCTAATTAATACGAGATTGTAGTTTAAAGGACGTTTATTTATCTGTAATTTATCTCTTTATAAAATAGTGCCAGAGTGATTCCCTGGAATTAATCAACTTTAATATGCTTGACCTGCACTCCTTAAATATTTTGTGCAGTTTCAGATTTCTCCTTCATTTACCAAGTATCTGGGAAGCTTCTGCTGTTTACAAAGAGAATTGTCCTGGATGTGATAGCACTTGTCTGTAGTCCCAGCTTTTGGGGAAGCTAACGCCGGCAGATCTCTTTGAGCTCAGGAGTTTGGAATTTTGGGCTAAGCTAATTACCGAGTATTGTATCAGGGGGAAGCTGGGGGGAGATGTCGCCAGGTTGCCTGAGGGGTAAACTAGCCAGTGTTAGAAATGGAACAGGTCAAAGCTCTGAGGAAGAGACAGTCTTTTTGTTTTTCTTTTTTTCTTAAAAAAAACAAGTAAATAATTGAAACACCAAAGAGTACTGTGTTATGTAAAAGCATACTAATTTGAATGTGTTCAGTTTTTGAAAATGAGAATTTTTTTTTCTACTTTTGCAATTTCTTGTTTTATAAGCAAACTAAAGTTGCATCCTCCACTGAACACTGACATAGGATTAAAGATATTTGGACATAAGATCTAAGAAGAAAAGTTTGCTGGAGGGGACATATGCTGGGCATCTTGACTTAGCTGCCACGGTGGCTGAGGCTGGTTGCTGGAGCTCTGCAGTTCTAAGTTGTAGTGGTCTAAGGTGATTGGGGGCCCTCCCTAAGTCTAATGTCCCATATGTGAGTCCTCAGTTCTGAGGGGCTGCCAGGTTTTCTAAGGGAAGGGGAAAACTTCCTCAGGTTGGACATGGAACAAGTCAAAATTCCTGCCCATTAGGGGTGGGATTGACTCATAAGAAGCTCCTGGGCTCCCTGCTGGAAAGAGATGCGGAGACCCTGTCTTTCTTTAATAAATCCCAGAGCTTTGCTGTAACCTCTGCAACGGAAGAATGATACGGTAAGAGAAGTGGTGTTTGAGGAAGATCGTGAGACCAGATATACGGTTAGCATTGTGAGGGACCCCAGAAGCCGTGGAATCCAGCTCCCTCGTTTTACTGGCAAGTCTTAGGGGGTGTGTGCTTTGTCCATTGTGGGGCAGGTAGTGAACTAAGTCCTCTGACTCTATGGGTAGCATCAGAGAGAGAATTGTTCTCCAATAACCCTAAGGTAAATGGAGAAACTGAGAGGATTTAAGTAAGTTGTAGGATGTTTTCAGTGATAACCTGTGCACCAGATGTTATAATATAGGAGAGGAATTATTCTGAGGGATATGATGAGAAAAGGTGATGAGATTATTCATTCAGTGAGGCTGGTGACAGTAACAGACAAACAGCTGCCTGTGTGCTGCACGGGTAACCTGTGAAATGTAAAAAAGACCTGGACAAAAGCCCCAGGGCCGTGGATTGTGACCTGTCTGAAAGACTATTGGAAAATGTGGATATAAACTGTGAAGGTAATACGTAAGTGTGAACTGTGATGGGCGCTGATGGAGAAAATATTGACACTAATAAAATGACATCCATTAAAGTCGATTGATAGCAATGTTTTATATATTGAACATGGAGAAAAGGAATTCAGGAAAACTTTGGATTTGAAGTTCATTCACTTTTAGAAGTTGCTTGTTTTAAATAACGTGATGCAGTTTTTGATTAATATAATGCATAATGGGGACCTGAAATTGCAGAAATTTTTAGCTGGGAATCTGAAAAGGGCACAAGTGGTAGTATGAATAAGAGATATGATTATGAAGAAAAGCTTTTAAAGTTAGGGAGAAATTAATTAGAACACTTCTGTGTTTTGGAAACGTATTCTGATAGGCTTTCTTTTTTTAACATTCTCGCTTAAGCAAGCCTTTGTCCCCTCATCCTCTCTCTTCCGTTTCTCAGGCTAAGTGAATGATACAATTTTTGGACAGCTCCATCTGTTGTTTTATAAGCAAACTAATGTTACAGCCATCTAGAGAATGAACCCACTTAGGGTTCATTCAAGAAATTAATTTAAAATGTCTACTTAAGGAGCAAAGTAGAAAGATAATAAATTTTTCATAAAAATATATTCTAAAACTCTTTTGAATTAACCACTTAAAACTGCCTGCCTCTATCAGTACGGGTAACAGTGATTCTGTTCTTTTACCTTAAAGATCTGATAGAACACAAACTAGAGTTCTTTAAAAATCAGGTAGTAGATGTTTAGATAAGAAATCTTTAATTTTGCAGTAAAGAATATTTCCAATAGAGAAGTCCATGATAGAATACTTCTAGAGTAAGAAATTATTCATGATAAAGGGCAAAGGGGTGTGTGTGGGGGGGGGAGGGGGGGAGATGGAGATAGTTGTGTCACATTATTGTAGCCCACTCTTAGCCATCAATAGGTGTTTGATGTGTATTTTTCCCCCTTGTTTCTTTTCCTTGTATCCTTGAGTAAGGATGGAAAGCGGACAGAGAGACTGTAGCTAGGGTTGGAGGAGAGTTTTTCCATAATATTCCTGTTACCCTAACTAAGAGGATAATTTTCAGTAGTGCCCAGGGACTCCTAAACAAGGGAAAGAATTTGTGCTGTTCCTTGACTTCTTGGGGTGATTGTTCCCTCGTGTTCTCCCTTCCCCCTCAAAGACATCCAGAGAAATTTGCCAGGGACTAGAATCTGAAGTTATTGCACGTAGTTGTCATGAAATTGTGGGATTCAGAGTTGGAAGGGATCTTAGAGATAATTTAGTTGAGTCCACTCCTCATCATGTCATTCTCAGGGCCATGTTGGGTAGTGTGGTTTAGGGGAAAGAACACTGGACTAGGAATGGGACTTGTCCCTCACTGTGTGAATGAGCTTTCTAGACTTCAGGTCTTCCATAGCTGTATGTTTTAATTAAGCAGTCTGACCTTAAATACCATATTGGTGTTACCTGAAATGAATCTTCAGTATCATGTAGGGTCTAACCCCCTAATCTTCTACTCCTGTAGCAATTAGTCTTTAACACATAATCCATCAGTTGCGTACTGTCGTCTCGTGTTTAATGTAGTTTTGTTCATCCGTCTCGGTTATGTACATGTTTTGAATGTGGGAACCATGTAATTATCTACTTCTAAATTCTCCTTAGGATGTAGTGCAGTGTAATAGAGGTCTTACATGTAAAGGCTCACTGTCCTCCGAATCACAGACTTTTCTAGCTTGAAGGGACTCTTTTTCTGGTCCAGCACTCTCAGCGGACCGTAGAATTGCAGTGACTTGTCTGATGTCTTAATAACCAGCTGTAGAGCCAGGTTGAAGGAAGGATTTTAAATTTGACAGGAAGGCAATTCTAGCTGTGCTGAAGGGCAAGGGTCAGCTTCTATCATTCTCCTCTAGAAACCTTCCATCCTATCTTTGCTCCTTTAGCTAATTTATCCTATATCTCCTGACTTGTGTCTGATATCTTTCCATTATACCGTGCTGCTGATAATTCAAGTTTTAGCCACAGTATCCTGAAAGGCCACAAGATGGAGATAGAACATAGGGAAAGTTTCTGGGTGCTTGATGCTCATTGTCCAACCCCAGTCCCTCCCCCGTCCCCTTGTCTTGTGCAACTGGGACTGCTCCAGCACAGACTTGTCTCTGTACGTTTGTCTGTCCTCAGCCTATCCTTTCTGCTTCTCTTTGCATTTTTCTCCTTTCCCAAAATGTCAATGAATAGAACATTTTAATTTTGTTTTTAAAAAACATTTTATGTACATCTTTTTTCATTTCACCTTCATTTCCGAATATATCCTTTCCCCAGCTCCTACCCAGTGAGCTATCCCCTGTAACCAAAAATAAGTAAATAAAAAATAGAAGAAAAAGAAAAAATTTCAGCAAAACTAAGCAGCATGTCAGCTGAGGACATGGAGTATTGCATATTCACGATCCCCATCCTTTCATCGAAGAGAGAGAGAGCTGCAGTGTCTCTTCAGGAACAAGCTTGGTCATTGGTACAGCCTCTAATTTATTACTTGTTGTTGTTCTTTCCACAACATTGCTTGTAATCTTTGTGCTTGTCGTGTGGGTGGTCTTGCATATTTTACTTTGAACTAGTTCGTTTAAGTCATCCCATGATGTTTCTTTGAACTTTCGTATTCCTAATTTCTGACGATCACAGTTGCCTTTCACTACACTTGTATCAATTGGTAGTCGTCTCCCTTGTTTCCAGTGTGTTGCTACTACAAAAAGTGCTGCTGTTGGGGACCTTCTTGTCCTTATTTCCTATTGGTGAAGATCTTCACATTTATTAAGTGCTTTCTTTGTCCCTGGGACTGGGGACACAGAAACAAAACAGTCCCTATTTTGGGGGGAAAAACAAACCCAGAACCTCAAGGTTCTTTTCTAAAGGGGACAACAGGAGATACGTAGTATTTACAAAGCGATTTTTGGTGGGAGAAAGTCTGGCAATTGGGGCTCTCAGAAAAAACCTCTGGCCAGAGGTGGTACTTGACCTTGAATCTTTAAAGTAGTTGGAGATAAAGAGAGAATCTCAAGGCATAGACATGGGTGAAGAGCAACCTCAGGAAGGGCCCAGAGGCAGGTGAAATGTACAGGGAACACTAGGGAGACCCTTTTGTCTGAAACAGAGGGCTTGGGGAGAGGGAGATACAAAATTTCTTTCAAAAAAAAAAAAAAGAGAGGTTGGTGTCAAATTTCGAAAGACTTTGAGTGTCCAAGGACCTGCTTCATCTTCTAAATAAGAGGAACCACTCTGTTCTCAAGTTTCTTGAGCAGAGAAATGGTGTTTTTAGAAATATTGGTCTGGTTGTTATGGGGAGGATAGCCTCAGGAGATTTGGTACCTTACCTTACAAAGCATCTAGTCAACCCCCACTGGTTTTACAGATAAGGAAAGTGAGGTCCAGAGGGGTTAAGCATAAGCCACACGGGTAATCAGGGAGCAGAAGCCGTAGCCCATGGGCCTGGGCTTTCTCCTTCTAGATAACCTGGTTGCACCCTGTAGAAGAAAGGAAGACAAATCACAAGGGCAAAGAAAAGCAATAAGAAGGAAAGTGTTAAAATTATTTAAGCCTTAGGCAGTTAATGTGGTCCACGCTGCTGCTCTGGAGGAATATGGAATGTGATCCCTGTCCTCAGGACATTTATACTGCAGTTTAGAGAAGAATCAAACGTGTGAAGCCATTATTGTACAGAAAGGCCATATGTCTTGGACCTAGACTGGGGGCACAGACTGAGTGGGGGAATGTTCCAAGGAGCTAATCAGAGGAGCCAGCATCTTCACAGGCAAGGCATTTTGAACAAAATGGAATTCAAGGCGGACTTCAAAGAATAGTTAGTATTTAGATAGATGAAAATGAGAGGATTACTGGGAAACCAAAGGTATAGCGTGTTTGTGAATCCAAACTGTGGATTCCTACAGGAGAGTAGTGGGAAGTAAGTTTCTCTTCTTTCATTTTTGGTTCAGTCACCTTCCCCTTAAGATCTCTTATCCCTAAATATAGACTTCAAATTTAGGCTGAAAGCAAAAGCTTTATACACTTCTTCCCCCACGTCTAATTCATTTTGGAAAATGACCCTCCAAAAAAGGAACTTCAAAGGTGCATGATTCTAATGTACATCATTTAAATCAACTTTGAAATAAGGTGAATGTCAGTCTGCAAAAAATGATGTACCTCAGACCTCACTTGCCAGTGTGATGATAATGATATATTAGAATAGAGTTGGCACCAATAGAAGGTGGAGTTCTGTTGCCATGGGTGAATTTTCCATTTTTCTTAAGATTCTTTATTGTTGCCTAATTTCTCTCAAGCTCTCGCTCAGGGATTACTATCAGCGCATGGTGCTTCTTGAATAAAAGAGACAAAAAATGTGCAAAGAGCATGTCATTTCTGTCATGAGACAGCAATTTCAAAAGAATGTACTTAAAGGATATTCCCTTTTTTCTTTAAAATATGTAAATAAATTACAATAATTGGTTTATTGTTTCCCATCAGCACTAAAAATCATCAGTGAGGCTGGAAGTGATGATGCTTCTAAGTATCTTTTGATCAGTATCACAAAGTTACTTATCTCCATAAGTGATTAAAAATACAATTCTAAGCTAACTTCTAGTTCAAAATAAATGCAGAGACTTGGTTTTTATTTTGTACCTTGCATTTAAGGAATCTTCAGGGGTTGTGTTGAGGCAGGTACTTTATGTTCCTTCTTACTAAACTTATTTCTTTTAAAGGTCAAGGTCAAGGAGACATTCTCATAGACGCTACACTCGATCCAGATCCCATTCTCATTCTCATAGGAGACGATCACGAAGTAGGTCGTACACGCCAGAGTATCGTCGTCGAAGGAGCCGAAGTCATTCTCCCATGTCTAACCGAAGAAGACATACAGGCAGCAGAGTATGTGACCTTAAAATAACTTAATTCAGATGAACGCCCTACTTTTGATGTTCACATTTTATGGTTGGAGGGGTGGGTGGGTGCAAGAGCATTGTTTTTTTTCCTGTAGGACAGTTGGGATTTTAGGAATTAGAGCTGGAAGGGACCTTAGAGATGCGCTTGTTAAGTTTCTCCTCTGCTAGAGATACAGAAACTGAGGCCAGAGGTGGAGAGAAACAAAAACCGAGGTTGAGTATTATTAACTCAGAGGTAGGTGGTTGTCCTGTCAGGAGACCATTGCTACACGTTTTGATCCATCCCTGAGCAGTACTACGTTTATTTTGGAGAGTGCACTAAGCCAGGAATTGGGATTTCTGGGGCTTTTCCCCGAGTTTTCCCATTAACTTAGTTGGTGATTTTCCTGTCCAGTGGCTTACTGTAAAACTGGAGATCTCAAGTAGGTAATTGAAAGTACCTTTCTGCCTTAACATTGTAATTCAAATAAACTCAAAAGATTTCTTAGAATTTGCTAAAGATTTCTACCTCACCACTAGAGGGCCTCTAAGCTGTGAGCTTTCTCTTTTCATTCTGGTTAGGCTGTGGGTGTAGGAGCTTGCAACCCCCACCCCCATCTAGGAGACAGCCAAATTAGTCCTACTAGGATAGGAAAACAGTTTGTCATTCTTACTGACATGGTTATAATATGTCATTCACCAAATGTTTTGGAGTTAGCCTTGTACAGGATATTGTGGAAGGTATTGAATAGGCTACAAAGGAAAATGAGACTTTCCTACCTGAAGAAATGGTGACACGAATACAATGTGACGCCCATAGCACTTAACTGCTCCGAGAAAATCTGGGGGGATGTTGTCATCCTCCTTTTCTTCTCTTTTTCCTCCATGCTCCTATGCATTTATTACCCCTCCCTCCAATTTTAGTATAGTGAGTTCTACTAGATACCCATCTTTGACTTAAAATATAAATATGTTGATTGTTCTCCCTAGCTAATGTCTTAAGACAAATTGAATCTGTGAAATGGATAAATACTGATATTACACTAGGAATTCCCTTAAATATAGGCATCTCAATAGGTGCCAGGGTTTTCTTCCTCCCATTCAATTTACATTTTCAGAAATAGGGTTTTGAGGTTCGTATGAGTGAATGTGTATGACACTATTGTAAATTGTGAAGAATGGTGCATTCTAGGCAAATTGGTTTAAATATAATTAATTTGAAGAGTACTTTGTGACATTTTGAACACCCTCTTTTTATTTTTTCAGGCTAATCCAGACCCCAATACATGTCTGGGAGTGTTTGGTCTGAGTTTGTATACAACAGAGAGAGATCTTCGGGAAGTATTTTCCCGTTATGGACCCTTGAGTGGTGTCAATGTGGTTTATGATCAACGAACTGGGCGATCCCGAGGATTTGCCTTTGTTTATTTTGAACGAATAGATGATTCAAAAGAGGTAGGTTCTCTGTTTTTATGCTTAACATCTGTAGTACCTGGGATTGCTGGAGGATCTTGACTGCAAAGCTTGAGAGTTGTGACGAATGGGTAGACTGGGAGTGGTGATTACATGTGCATATATTGCAACATATTGAAGTAATTACAAACTCAAATAATAACATAATCTGATAGTTATCTACAACAAGTTATATTACTAAAAGCAGTCCAATAGTACACTTAGATAATATCGAAGAAATAACAGTAGCATACATAACTGTAATGTTCTTGCTTCTGTTTTGTGCTGGAGACTGGTATTATCAGTCATGAAAAGTAAAATACATATGTAGACAAATATATATAAGCCACTAAAATTGTTTTGTAGTTTAACTGCTATAATCGTATTCAGATTGATTTAAGGAAAAATGCTGTATTGACATAAGTAGGTCCCCTCTCTGACCTCTGAAGAGAGTACAATAGCCCAGAAATGATCTCCTTTGAATGAAATTCCCCAAATGGATTATTCGATGATATGATTGTTGAGTAATTTGTAAGAATGATAATTTGACTTAAAAGGAATGGTACATTTGACACCTTTCCCATATAGAATGAGAATATGAGAATTTATAATTAAATTGAAAAATTATGCTAGCCTTTTGAAAACAGACCATACAAATACACATTGTCATATGCTGATTGTTTGGGACCCTTTTTTTTTTTTTAAGCTAAAATTCACTTTGTTGTAAGCCAGTCCTATTTGATTCCCATTGTTGTATACATTTTTGTTTTTAAATATTAATACCATGCTTTTTTAAAAAGTAAAAAATTCCTTCTGAATGCAGAAAACATTGATTTTTTTGGGGGGGGGGGTGAGGCAGTTAAGTGACTTGACGGCAGTCACGCAGCTAGTGAGTGTTATGTGTCTGAGGATGCATTTTGAACTCAGGTCCTCCTGATTCTAGAACATTGAATTTTTAAAAGCTGTTCTTTCATAGTAAGTCATGGAAAGATCAACAAGAGTTGAAAAACACATATAAAATGCCTGTAAGTCTGCCTCATAGCTACATAGGCATTGGGTATAATGTTTGTGCGTATTTGAAGGACTGACAGATGGTTGGTTCATTTTCTGGTTTCACCTCTGCCTTCCCGTTTCCTAGCAGAGGTGTTGGGAGTGGTGGCACCGTAAGAACTCAGCAGAACCCGACAGGAACAGCCCTGGAGCAAATATGAGTGTCATTGTGCTGTCCCTTTTTCTTCTGAGCTGGCTCATATTTAATTCCAGAAGCAGGGCTTTTAGAGAGAGTCTTTTCTGGAGTTCTGTGTTCTATTCAGTAGAATTGCAACCTGCAGGAAACCTGGTCTTGTGCAGTGAGCTCTGTGAGTTACAATAATGAGACTGGTAGGGAAATGGGAAAAGGTGTAGCTTGACTGCTGTTTTAATTATCTGCTTAATCACTACCTCAATTAATGAAAATCATTTGAGTTTGTTTTTGCAGTAGTATTTAACAGAATCTTCAGATGTAAATTCTTTTCTGAGGATTTTTTTAACAAACCCTCATTTCTTGTCTTCATTTTAATTTTACATTCTATATATATGGATCTCTTTACTTCCAGCTATTACTTTGGCTTAGTATCAGTTCTAGTTTGGGTTATTATCAGTGAGTATAGCATATATTGTTTATATGGTGCTTCCAAGGAAATCATGACACTGTTTTTCTCTCTAGGGGCACAACTAGCCTCACATTAAGTAATTTAAAAGAAAAAAATCATTAAGCAAAGACAATGTTATAGGGGACAGTACCATAAGAACACTAATGAGCAGTTAGTTGGTTTTAATACTGTAATGACTTTTTATGTGTTTTGGGGTTTAAATGTATTAATCATATTGTTGTTAGGCCAGTACTTTTAAAAAATGTGCAAGTGTTTTATAGGTACAGTGCCATTTTAATGAAGTGAGTATTAATAGAACTGCTGCGGTGAGGCTGGGTTAACAAGGAACCCTTGCCTGCTGTCGCTAGTTCATAGGAGGGACACTTTGTATTTGTGGCATATTCTCGTGTGTATTTCTTTCTTTTCCCAAATTGTCATCGAAGTGCTGAGCCCTGAAGGTAAGGAAGGGTGTTAGCAGACCCGCTTGAACCGTCTGGTGACACGGAAGGTACCGTGAATGTCCTGCCTAGCGGCCAAGTGAGCTGCACTCCGAAGACTTGGGTGTTCGTTTTGGCTGCTCGCTGGTGCCTTTTTTCCCCTTGGACTTTCTTTTGGTTGGTTCCTGGTTCTGGATAGTTGAGGTTTCCATTTATAAGCTGCAGCGCAAGAACAAACAGGGCTTGAACTTAGTACTTGCTTTTCTCCCTCTTGCTCCCGCCGCCTTTTTAAAAACGAATTTTCATTTAAATTGTGTTGGTGCTTCACTGAGTCCAACTGACCAGATTTTTTATTTGGATTGCTAGTCAGGAAAACTGGGGCTAGTTTGATAGGATTGTGTGATTATTTCTTAAATACCATTTGAAGTAGGGGATTTTTTGAGTTGGGTTTTTTGTAGTTTATTTAAAAAATAAATTGGAAACAATTTTACGAAGAATCATTGGGATGGGGTGAAGATGAGACATAATTTTGGTACGTATAATTTGGATAAAAACCAGCAACTTGGGTTAGAAAGTGAGCATCTGCAGCACTTCTGTGGCTTATGTTCAATGGTTTTCAGAGTAAGTAACTGATCAGAATGGCCAAGACAGAGAAGGACAAATTTTAATAAATTAGTAAAACTTTAATCATCTTTTTTTAACTTAACATGTTATATAGGGCTTTATTTAGTATAGCGCAAGTTAAATAAAGCTTAACCTATAGAAAGAAAGCTCTTCACACAGCATTTCTGTAAACGATTATATTTTACACAATATGTAAAGCTTCCATACTTATCTATTGGCTAATACATGGTGATGATTTTCAGTCCTTAAACATATGTAACATCACCAGAATTAGCAAGGAGAAGCCGCAAACTTTCTAATGCTTAGACACATATAACGGAATGTTTGTGTTAGTTGCACCCCCTCCCCTCAAAAAAACAAACCAACCAACAGCAGAAGGCAGTTCTGCAGTCGTGGCCTGTCCCTGCGGAGGTCCGCTAGGGGGCAGCGCGAGCTAAGGCAAAGCGCGTGTGCCCTCACATCAATCCGATTCCATCGCGAAAGTGGAATAAGGATGAAAATGTGAGGCCTTGGCCCCAGTTTCTATAAAATAATGTGTTTTATTCGTGCTTATTTGATGTTTAGGGAGTGACTCTGAAAAACTGTTAACGTGCCGCTCGGTTAGCCCGAGTCGCCATGAGCTCGCAGCATCATGGCGGCTTCTCGGGGAGCCGCCCTGTTGTCTCTCTGCAGCCATGTGTTCAGTTGCTTACGCAACTCACTACGTGCAGACGTGCGCGTCTGCCGTAGGTCGCTGTGCGTATGATGGCGCGCTGCCTTACGTTTCTCCGCGTGAGCGTGCGTAGGGCCGAGCGTAACCAGGCGCATGAGCGTCATCATGGCGGCGGCCTTAGCCGCCATGCCATGTTTTCATTCTGACACGTTGTAATGCCACCTGGCCGCCACCAGCGGGCACTCCTCCGGCGTGCGGCCGCCGTGGGCCTGGCAGTGAGCGGTCTTGCCCGCCAGGTGTCGCTCTTGCAACAGGAATGAGAGTTTCTCCTGGCAGCCGCCATCAGCGGACGGGCGGGCTGGGCTGCTGGAGCCCCCTAACATGGCGGCGGCGGGGGGGGGGGAGAGGGGGGCCAGCGCACATTGTTTAGGCCCCGCCAGCCGCGGCAGCCTGGCGTGGGGGGACAAAGGCCGGACCCCGGCCTCGCTCTCATTAGTATTCGGGGTCCGCACGATTCGCCCGGCCCGCGCGGTTCGCCGCCTGCGCGAACCGTGGGCCGTGCGTGACCGTGACCGTAACGGGGCCTGGGGGACAATGCAGGCGGGGCTGGCGAGGGGCCCCGAGCCCCGACCCTCCCCCTCCCGGGGCCGCCTGGGTCTGCTCCTGCTCGCCACAAGGGGGCGGGTTTGGGGTGACAACGCGCCGATGCGGGTGATTGACGGGCTTCCCTGCAGACGGCCGCAGGCCCAGGCCCAGGCCTGTGTGTGAAGGAAAGGTTAAAGGGTTGAGATCGGGGGTACTGGGGCCCAGGCCGGGATGGGGGCACCCGCTCGGGCCCAGCGCAGGGCGCCGCTCTGACCCTTTCTCTGTTGTAGGCCATGGAGAGGGCGAACGGGATGGAGCTGGATGGCCGGAGGATCCGCGTGGACTACTCCATCACCAAGAGGGCGCACACCCCCACCCCGGGCATCTACATGGGCAGACCCACCCAGTAAGCGGCCCCGGAGCGGCGCGGGCCGCGGGGAGGGCGGCGGCGAAGTCGGCCAGCCTGGCCGTTTTTCTTCCCCTTTTTGTTCCTGTTTTTATCTTGTCATCTTAAAAATATTTGGAAAAAGTTTTTGGAGAAGCAGGTTTTTTAATTTATTGGCTCTTATCCCCCAAGCCACTATTTTCGGATTTCTCAAATGCTGTAGCTAAGGATGAGAATAACCTCTTACTGTTTAGTTTTGATAATACTTAACATGATATTGTGTCTCTGATGAGGTGGCCTTCTAAAGATGTCATGAAGACCTGACTGAAATGTGGGGGGGTTGTTTTGTTGTTGCTGCATTATTTTTAATTCCATGGCAGTTGCTTTTCATCCTTGCTTAGAATTTGACTTTAATTTCAACTTTTGAATGTATGATTAAGGTAATAAAGAGGAGGCGTGGTATAGTAGACAAAGAACTGATTACAATAGGGTTCAAAGATCTGATACGTGAACTGAGCTCGTCCCACCTGTCCTCCCCTCACTCGCTCAGTTTCTTGATATCCCCTGGCAGTTCTGTTATACTCTTAAGTTGCTGTGTGGGTACAGATCTGCATGGTAAGGGGGAGCTTTCTTGCTCGGAGTTCCCCATGCCAAAGAAAATATGGGTATGATTCCTCTCCAACAAAAAGCAAAAGAACAAGGAAGATCTGGGGAAGATCATTGGTTGCTGCAAGGCTCCTTTAGCTTTGGGCAGGTCACTAGCTTGGTGCTGCCCGGGACAGCATTTTGAAATTTCACGAACATTTATTTGGTTTGAAGAAATTGTCTGGGATCCTTATGAGCAGTTAGCACTAGTAGCAGAGAGAACGTCTTTTAAAAATCCCCAAAGAGGGGGAGAAGTGAAACTTTTAAGTACTTTGGGTTTTTTGTTTAAACCAGCATTTAAGTTCCCAAAAATTACAGAGAAAATAAGACATTTATGAAGATGAACTTTCTTTTTATCCCCTCATAGTAGTGGAGGAGGCGGTGGTGGCGGAGGCGGTGGAGGTGGCGGAGGAGGCGGGAGACGCCGTGACTCTTACTATGATCGTGGATATGATCGAGGATATGACAGATACGAAGAATATGATTACCGGTACAGGTAACAGTTTTTATTTATATTCAGTAATTTAATATGTATGTGTATTTGTCCTACTTTAGGCTTTATGTAATCTACATGGTTGAAGTGGGAGTTCTAAACTTTTCAAAACACATTTTTCAAAAAGCTTTCTATAATTTCTTGTACAGGGGTTTCCTAAGTTATGTTCCCACTTATATTTAGCAGACAAATGATTGTGAAATCATGACTTCCCTTTTCCATATATTAGGGGTTGTTGGGGAAACCAGCTAAGGGCTTCTTTGAGCACTATTCCTCCCGAAAAGTAGGAAAGTGGTTTGATGAGTTTAAGTGGAAGAACCAACATGGCCTGGTGAGATGGAAGAGAAGATTCTCCTGGGCAACCAGCCTTACTTTACAGGGGAGGAAATAAATGGAGGGAAGGGGGAGAGATGAGATATTACAGATGGGTGGGTTTTTCTTAACAGAATTTACAATTAAATCTCCATGCAAGTTTTTCACATTTGGGAGCATTTGAGATGGAGCGGGAAGTGTCATGATTCTAGGCAAGCAGAGCCTTAAAACTCACTTCTTGAGCTGAACGTCAGCAATGTTTTGGCATCTGTGTGCTGTTAGTTTAATCTTGTCAGTTGTTTCAAGGTTAGACCAACATGTGAATGTAAGGGCACATTACTTAGTTGCCATTTAATGCATGTTAACTTAATCCATATTAACTCACAGTTTGAAAGTGAAGTGCTTAATAGTTAACTTTGTCTTCATATAACTTGACTGGTAATTCAGTTGCAGTACTCTTGAATAAATACTGTGCTCCTTTGTTTCACACTGGGTTTAATTCTCATACTGAAGAGCCTTTATTTACTCACCTAAGAAACTTTAGCAAGTTTTCCCATAACATGTTGTGGTAAAAGTTTTCATATCCCAATATTTAATTTCGTAATGCACCTTTTTTTCAGTCATTTTAATATCGACAGTCCCTTAAAACATATCAAGACAATAGAAAAAATGTATATGAGTGAATAAAATGATTACAGATTCTTTTAACTGAGCTGAGGTTTTGGAATCTATGAATTGATATCCTGGTTCTACTTTTAACTTGCAACGATGTCCTGAAAAAGTCACTTGAGAGAAAAATTATCTTCCTGCTTCACAGATGGATTTGTGATTATTTATTGGAATCTTGGAAATACATTAAATAGTCATTTGATTTTCTTACAGAAGAAGATCGCCTAGTCCGTATTACAGTCGATATAGATCACGGTCAAGATCCCGTTCCTATAGCCCAAGTATGTACATTTCAAATATAAGTTCAGTATTTGTCCTTCTTGTTATCAAATGCCTTTAGTGTTTTTTAAAGAGAAGTTTATCAATAAAATTACGCATGTTGTTACTGTTACTATGTTCAGAATAGTGTTGCTCAAGTCAAGGTAAAATTCCACTTCTATAACATTTTTTCCCCTTCTTTCTTTTGTAGGACGCTACTGAGGAATTGGACAATTGCTGTTGAGGACTTGGATTTTTAAAATTCTTCTGGATTTCTCCAACCTTTTAATCTTCCCCATCTCTCAAGAACCCTTAAAAAATCTTTGGTTTATTTAGAATCTACACTTTTTAAGTTGATATATTGCTGTTTTCACCCCTTTATTGTACTCTGGAAGATGTAATTGTTGTAGTTTTGAGTAGTCAGACATCTTAAAGGAAACCCCAGTGTTAATACATTTTGTAAATTCTTTTTTTGTTTTTACAAAAAAAAAATTAACTCATCTTAATCAAATGAGGAAAGAAATTGTTGTTTTTGAAAAGCTTGTTTTGTGTGAATTGTGCGCTGCACACATTGTAACAGAAATTTTCACTGACAAGTAACTTGGTGTTTTGGGGGTGTTTTGTTTGTTTTTTGGTTAACTGTTTGCCTGTTTATTTTAAGAAAATAGTAGCCTATCTAAAACTGTTCAGTAATGACAAATTTAAATGTGGGGTGGCATGGAACAGTCAAATAGTTGAGTGTAGAAAGTTTGAAGTTGTAGAAGATAAATGACTCTTGGTCATTTCTTTTGAAAGGAAACAAAATTGAACCCTAAAAATTAGGTCTGTGTTTTAGAGACGAAAAGCTTATGGACTCCTGCACAACGTATTGCATTTGAAATACATCTGTTAAACCTTGCAAATTTAATTAAAGTGTGGTTTTTGTGTGTGTTTTTTTTAAAAACCTTATTCAGTTTAAATGTTCCCTTAATCAGTGAAGGACAACCCCTATTTATTGAATATAGCAATTTAGTTATATAATTTGCTGTTCATAGAAATTTTGGTATTGGGATAATGGGTTAAGCAGGTTATAGTTTACAATCCTTTGAAGTGATATGTGTGGGGGGATTTTACCATAAGTCTGCTCTCATTTCAAATAAAAGTTAATTCCATTGAAATCCTGTCGTCTTTTTATTCCTGCACAAATTAACAGTTTTGGAAGTCAAAGTCTGGATTGTGTAGGTCTTATTCGTTATGTTTCATTTATTCAGAATTTGCTGTAGGAGCTAACAGTAAGTCTGGACCTTTTTTCTAGTCTGACAATGTTCTGCTTCTTGTCCTGTGGTCTCTGTTTGCAAAGTCTAGAGGAAAGAAGTGGGTCCAAACACCTCCACCCTGAACTCCCTTTGGTGACCTTGGTCCAGTGACAAACACCTCCACCCTGAACTCCCTTTGGTGACCTTGGTCCAGTGACCGTAATCTGGGAACCCATTACTTCCTCATCCTTAAAGTTGGGTCTAAAGCGCTTCCAAAGGCCTTTGAAATTCAAACTTTTTGGCTTTTCTTCCTTCTTTCTAATCTCTTAGGTTTTCACTTTCCCTTCTCACTTTTATGTGACAAAGATGTTAACATGTGGTGGGTAATTCTTGTGGAGATACAACAATTAGATTACTAAGAGGGCCTGAAGCCAGGAACTTTTTACACTTACCAAGAGGGAGGCAGCTTAAGGCTGTATTCTCCTCGGTAGTCACCTTAGAAAACAGACGTCATAAACTCATTAAATGTTTACCAAGTGCCTACTGTGTGCTGGACTAGGTGCTCAGGATACAGACAAAAACAGCCCCAACCTCATGAAGCTTACATTTTACTGGCCAGTGGAGAGTCTTGGATCAGTGTGCAGTTTGGTTTTTAAGACGTAAATATGTTTTAAAGCTCTGGCTTCCGCCTCTGCCCACCCCCACTTTCTGCACCTACGTAAACTAGTGATGAGTCAACCAAATCAGTAGAAGCAGATATTTTGGAAGTCACAGGAGCACAGCTTTATGGAGTTGGAAGGAACCATCAAGGCTGTCTAGTCCAACTGCCTCCTTTCAGAGCTGAGAAAACAAGTCCCGGAGAAGCTGCAAGTAGCTCCCCAAGGCTCCATCTTGGGCCCTTTTTTTTTTTTCTCTCACTAGGAGATCTCATTGGCTCCCGTGGGTTCAGTTCTCTCTGCAGGTGACTTCTAGATTGATCAATCCAGTCCTATCCTGAGTTCCAATCCTGCTTCACCAACTGCCTAATGAACATTTGGAATGGGATGTCTTGTTTTCTCAAACTCATGCCAAAAATAGAACACAGGCCACCATCTGTCCTCTCAGTCACCAAAGTCATCACTACCTTGATTTCTTCCTTCCTATCCTGTAATTGGTTTCCATCTCTCACTTCTGTCCCCACTCCCAATAGCAGTCACCGTAGTTAGGGCCCTTATCACCTCTCCTGGTCTATGACTGGACTCCCTGTGCCTCAAATCTCCCTCTGATCTGTTCACCACACAGCTGCCAAAGTGATTTTCCTAAGCCATACTTCTAACCATGAACCCCAGCTCCAATAAACTGGAGTGGCTCACTTGCTAGAATCTGGCATTTAAAGGGTTTGTTGTTTTACAACCTGACTATTTCTATACAGTCTTTTCAAATGTTCCTCGCCTCTACCTAACCTGTGGTCCAGCCACACTGGCTTGATTTCCTTCACACACCATACTCACATCTCCATTGACTATCTTCTGTGTATGGTTTGCTCTCCCTGCAAACATCTTACTGTCAAAATCCCTGAATTTCTTTAAGAATCAATGGTAGTACCACCCCCTGTGGTTACAAAAACCCATGCCACAGTAAACACCTGAGAATCCATACTGGAGAAAAGCCCTCTACGCTGAATGGGTGTGGAAAAGCTTTTACTTCAGTAGCGATGTCTTACTGAGCATGAGAAAATCCATACTGGGAGACCCATTGGATGTAATGAATGTGGCAAGTACTCGAGGCAGAAGCAAACATGAAAATTCATACACGGATAAATCATGAATGTAATTAACAAATGTCAGAAAGCCTTCAGTTGGGGGGAACATAGTATGGAGTATCAGTGATGTCATACTGTTGGACAGTTAATGTAAATGTGATCAGGATGGAAGCTATAATTTCAATCCACAGCGAAACCTCCCACCTCAAAATTCGTGACTGTGACTGTGGAACAACCCTTGCATGTCTGTTTGACATCTTATTATAAGCTTCATGTGGAAAATTTACTGTGGAGCTTTCATCTGGGAAATTCTTCATGGAGCACGAGATCTGAAGGTGGAAAGGACCATCATTTTATAGATGGAGGCACAGGAAAAGAGTCATTAGGTGACTTGCCCAGGCATAGAGCCGCTAAGTCTGAGGCAGTATTTGAACCCAGGTATTCCCGAAACGAGGGAGCTAAGGTGGCTCAGTGGATAAAGCACTAGGCCTGGAGTCAGGAAGATCTGAGTTCAGATCCCTCCTCGGACACTTGCTGGCTGTGTGACCCTGGGCAAGTCCCTTAACCTGTACTTTAGTCCAAATGACAAACTACTCCAATATCTTTGTCCAAAAAACCCCATGGACAGCATGAGTGCACTGTGATCCGTGGGGTCACGAAGAGCTGGTTATGATTCAACAACAATGATGACATTGGTGACGACCACCACCTCTCGTAGTCAACGGTGATTCCCCCTCCTCCTGTAAGGCTACCTTACACCTATTCTGTGTCTTGCATGGAATTGGTTTAGGGACTGGATATGTTCTCTGCCCCAATAACACATGATCTCCCTGAGAGCTTACTCCCCAGTGCCCTGCACATATGGAGCCCTTAATAAATGCATGTTGAGTGATTGTTCAACCTCACTCAGGTATTGTCAGAATTGGGATTTGAGCACGGATTCTCTGACTTCAGAACTCAGGAACTTCCCACGGTACAATGCTATGTCGCCCATTCAGTGATTTAAGCTGACCAGTGGATAATTTTACAGTGGACTTTGTTTTTATTAAACTCAATTAATAAGTTTTTCTTTGGAGTATTTTTCTTCAAACATTTTTAGACCTTTATAAAATGTTTCCACACACCCCTGACCCAAAATACATCCAAGAAAACCTGGAGAGAGGGAGGCATTATAAATTATAAAAACTTCAGACTAACAAACTATTAGTTAATACAACCAGAGGAGGTTTTCATCTTCTATTTCCTGTTTATTCATAGGCAGAACTGTATTTTCTGCTTTTTCAATTTCCTTTTAATTTTTTTTTTTGTTTTTTTTGTTTTTGTTTTGTTTTAGGTTGGGCAATGAGGGTTAAGTGACTTGCCCAGGGTCACACAACTAGTAAGTGTTATGTGTCTGAGGTCAGATTTGAACTCAGGTCCTCCTGAATCCAGGGCCGGTGCTCTATCCACTGTGTCACCTAGCTGCCCCTAATTTTTTTAAGTTTATAATGAATTTGTGGGGGCTTTTTTGGGGGGGAGATGTGTGGGAAAAAATAAGTCTATGATATAAATCTAGGGGCTGCAGCTAAGGAGGTACACGAGTACTCTGTTGGTGGAGCTACAAATTGGTCCAGTCATTCTGGAAAGTAATTTGTCACTACCTTTGTCCACTACTAAGCCTACACCCCCAAAGAAATCAGAGAAAGAGGAAAAAGACTTGGATATATGAAAAAATATAGCAGCTCTTTTCATGGTATCCAAAAATTGGAAACTAAGGGAATATTCTTCTATCAGGGAATGTCTAGACGAACTGTAATGGAATATTATTGTGCCCTAAGACATTAAGAAACAGTTTCCGAGGAAACTTGGAAATTTTCTACAAAATTCTACAAATTCTACAAATTTTCTACAAATTTCTACAAATTTTCTACAAAATGAAAACCAGAACAATTTAAACAATGACAAGACTGTAGAGAAAAACAACTTTAAAAGACTTTAGAACTCTGATTAGTGTAAAGAGAAATAGAATTGCGTTCACAAGAATAAAGATGTAACTGTTGACAGAGAGGTGATGATCTTCAAATTCAGAGACATATTTCTATAACCATAGCCTTCAAGAACCTTAGTCAGTTTCATGCTACAATGAGGTATCAGGAAAGGGAACTCTGCCCAAAACTCAAATATACCAATGGTTCTCTCACCTCCTACATGTGGAAGGAATCTCAATGCAGATATCAACTGATCCATGCCCTTGTGTCTTATGTAATTGGTCTCTGTACTCTCATAAATTCACTACTGAGACTATATACTAGGGTCTGTGCAAATTGAATCCAATCTCTTGTAACCTCTAAATCTATAGGACTACATTGGAAAGAATTAATTACTTGGAGGTAAGTAAAGCACCTTATAGGATCATACGGTTTTTTGTTTTTTTTTTTGATCATGGGATTTAAGACCAGAAGCCACCTTAGTCCAGGGATTCTTAACCAGAGTCCATGAATGAAAAAAAAAAAACCCAAAAACTTTTAAAATAACTATTTCAATATGATTTCAACTGGTTTCACTTGTAATTGGGCATATTTTATTTCACATATTTAAAAACATTATTCTGAGAAGGAATTCTTAGGTTTTAGATTAGAGGTTCATGAGCAGGAAAAAAGGGGGTTAAGTGAAGAATCTCTGCCCTAATCATCCACCTTTTATGAATGAGGAATGGGAACACTGAGGGGGGAAGCTGTGAAGTGTGATAAGTGGAGTACAGATGCCAGGTTCTGATTCTAAATCAGATCATCATACCAGGTAGCCTCCCTAGGTCCTTAAGAATTCTTTTCCTTCTACTCAAGATCAAAAGTACTTTGTGTTTTTAAATGATTTTCAACAAATTTAAACACAAAGGGCTTTTTAATCAGAATCAGGTCAGAAGCAATTAATATTTTACAAATTTCCAATGTGCATCTTCTCTGTTAGAAATAGCGCTGAAACTATAACTAGATTCAAAGTAGTAGTAGCATATGCACATTTAAACTAGGTCTTTGGATTGACACGGCTTGTCATTTCAGAGGGGCTCCCTTCACTGGTGAAACCCAACTTGCTTCTAGACATTTGTTAGATACATGACTCCTGATAGTCCTGATGGCAAACCTGTTTTATGTAATGGTTCTCAAACTAGAGCAACAGGGTTGATCTGAAACTCAAATTGCTT